ATTAAAGTAAAAAGGGTACTTGCCTATTAGACTATTAGACCTTTTATGAATTATTGTGAAGAACGCTCTTAATAGTCATTATGACTGTAATTCATCCTCTGCACTCCATTTTTGCACTACAATCTATGTATTAGCCAAGGTATCTTATGTAATAATTGTATTTACCCTACTTTGTCGGAAGTGATGAAGGACTAATAGTTGAATTTTCCTAAAATGATGTGAGTAGGCCTTACGTTTCTATTGAATTTGACAATCTAGCTTCCTAAAATATATTCTTATACAATGTGGTCTCGAAAACCTATTTAGATACGAAAATATTTTATATAATGCTCTATTGCACCCATTATGATCTAAAGACGTAATATGGAAAGGTGACATATTCAGGTCTCGCCCAATTATGACAGAACAGGTCCTGGCTTTGGAAATTCAAACTCTCTTGGAAGTATTAATCATGACTCCATATTAAATGTACATATGTATATTTCGGACACTCAATATTTCAGCATTTTGCTATTTTCCTCATATAAACAGAAGTGCATTTCGTCCTCACAGAAATTCTGTATAGAGCCCATGATATATTGTGTTGGTTTGATCTCGTTTTCGCAAATTTGTTGGAGTGGCAGGAAGACCTTGTGAAACGTAGCTAGTCCTGTGTTCTCTGCCATAGTATGAATTTTTATTTCCAGCATCGGCCCGTTGATTTGGTATATTCCCAGACGGTTCACCGGTAAACCAATACTATACAGCTAAGGGAGACTTAAACCAAACAAAAGGCCACACCATTTTGGTCTTCCTACCCATGATATAGTGTCTACTTTTACCAAATTATTTTATCCGATTCGAGGGCATCTATACGAGTTGGGGGAGGGAGGAACCTATTTTTAAGTGTATTCAACTTAGCATGGCCCTAGTACACACCACAATTTTCTCATGGTGGCAATTTCATGGACTATAGGACCTGATATCGCTCCCCTTTCGCTTTTCTCAACTACCTCTTTTTTCCTTTGCAGGTACCGCCCACCTGATGTCCTGCTCGGCTCCACTGAATATTCGACGCACATCGATATGTGGGGTGTCGGGTGCATTTTCTTCGAGATGGCGACTGGTTGGCCGTTGTTCCCTGCTTCTACCGTACAGGAAGAACTGACTCTTATTTTCAAGCGACTTGGTGGGTCCGATTTTGGGGCATCTTTTTACTTGGTGCTTTCTTCTCTGGACTCTGTCGGGTCAAGTCGCACTTAATCAAATTCATTTCACTTTCTATGCCTCAAACACAAGTAATATACTATTTTTTATTAGGATCTTGGAAGTGTATTTCATCTATTCTTCAGCCTGCGTATGCTTGCATTTTCCTTCAATATTTCAGCATGTTCTAATTGTATTCCTATCCTAATTCATTCGTTATTATTTGCATTACGAATAATTTATCGGCTCCTTTGCCATTTGCACATTTAGAAAGTACTGATGATTGTTAAATATAAAGAGAAGCTGGGTTTCGAATAGATACTTGGTAGATTGATACTGGCATACCTTTCATTTTCGTTTGAAAAGGCGAGTGT